CCCCAAAACCCCAAAACCCCAAAACCCCGTACTTGGATACATATTTTGAAACCTAAGCGTTGCATAATGGTTATCAAAACTGGATGTAATGCGTTGAGTCATCAGTGTAAAATTTTGTTTCAAATTGGCATTCTTCAGTCAGCGAGTTTACTAGAACTTTGGGCACGCCAATCATGTACAGCTGAAGCAACTTCAACGAAAGGCCAAGCTGGGATTCTTTCAGAGCAATGATTAGCATTCCAAAGACATCTCTAGGAAATTGAGTATCATAAAGGTTGATTTCTTCAAGTCTAGGTACTGATTCGACAGAGAAATCTAGCTTTTCACCTCCCAGTTGGCTATATAAAAGGCTTTAGCACTGAAAGAATGTCAAGAAGGGAATGTAGCAAAAGTTAGGAGTTTATTTTTTGGCTAAACAGTAGCTTACATTATTTTACACCTTTCAATGATTACTTCTCTTCATTGCGAAGACTCAGTGAAGATTTGATTAAAATCGTTGACATAAATAGTGAACCAATCAATTCTAAAAATTAAATTAAAATTGTACCTGACTCTTCTGGTTACCATTGGGATGATTTTCATATAGTTTTGGAAACTTGGGAACTCGCTTGCTCGAAAGTGGAAATGCCCCATTTTCTGAGTTATTCAATCAGAAATAAATTCTATCAGTTCTTCATCTTTTTCCCCAATAGCTGTGACAATAATCCCTTTAAGCTTCGGGAGTGTAAAATTTTTGAGATTTCTGAGCACGTTTAGTTGAGAACGTACTCTCATTGAAAAATCAACTTCCATTTCCATAGTTACCCGGTTGAACTCTGGAGGATCTAGAGGAGCTTCATTGCTAGAGGCATAGAGCTCACAAATCTGGTCATAAGTTATCTCTTCCTTTTCTCTCTCACATAAGTCAAGGTCTGCTACCTCTTCTGAGATTTCTGAAACAAATAACTTTTGTGGCAAACAATCTTGGTAAAGCTTGCTAACACTATTGACCTTGCTAACATATGAAATCTTTGTTGCTTTGAGATTCTCAACAATCTCTGAAGATATTTTACTTGATTTATACGTATCAGGAAGTTCACCAGCTGCGAGAGAAATAATGTATGATATTTCTCGAAGGCAGGACCTGATAAACTTCCAGTTAGTCTCTTGACTGTCTTCAAACTCATTTTTATAAAGTTGGCTGCTAAGATGCTCAATGAGAAATTCGACTTCTACTGAAAGATTCTCTGTGGATGTATGATCATCCTCAGATGCCTCAAATCCTCTAGCTATTTCAGCATTAAACAGCCTATAGAGGTCTGATAAGATTTTGAGGAACTGCTCTTTATGCTTGAAAGCATTCTCTTGGAATTCTTTCTTCACCTCAGGAGAGTTATTCAGGGAGATTTCATAGCCTATATGTCACAAGTAGAGTTTACTATCAGAATAACCAAGGGCACATACAATGCACAAGGGGTTGTCTCCATGCGTAGATATGACCAGAGGCAGCCTATGGCATCCTTCTGTGGGTCATTTTTCTACTAAATCTTGCTCTAACTTCTCCATTTTACAAAATTTCAATCGATTTTACCAATTTTGGGGTTTTGGGGTTTTGGGGTTTTGGGG